ATCTCTGGAGCAATCGGGTTGTAGTGCCTTCGCCATTTCGGCTATTGTGACGGGTGGCAATTTTCTCGCCCTGAACGTTCAGGCCGAGAACCTAGTCAGCCTGGACCTTACTACCGGAGGGGGACTTCAGTACCTGGAAGGGATGTCTGCCGAGGCCGAGTACAAGCTCTTCTGTGAGCTTGATGCTCGGACTTCCCTCGTTGCAAAACATGTCATGATGAGGTCTGTCGTCTCAGAGGAGAGGCTTTACGAGTGACTCAAAGAGGCCGAAGGCACTTTGAAGGAGGCGTTAGCTGCGAACGCCAAGGCAACTGAATCGGCCGAGGAGTTAAAGAGCACCGCCGATGCCTACAGAAGAGAGGCCGACGATTTGAAGTTGGTCGTCCAGAAAATGAAAGTCGAGCCCTCCGCCTCTGCCAACGAGATTGCCCAGTTGAAGGAGGTCGCTGTCAAGTTCGAGGCCGAAGCCACCGAGAAAATCCTCGACCAACATGATGCCGGCTTCCAGCACGCAGTCAGGCAAGCTTACCACTTCTGTGAGGTCCCGGCTGATTTCCAGTTTGATGTTAGCCGGGACTTCTTAGGTGGTAAGTTTATAAGCTACGCTGAGTTCCCTCAAGGGGCTCAGCCTGACGCCGAGGCCCCTCGTCAAGGCATTTCCAGCCAAGCTCAAGTGCGGACGACCGAGGAGGAGGAGGAGTCGATCATTGATGTGGTCGGTGATGGTAATCTGGCGGACTCGGCAGCAGTATAGGGGCCAGTTCTTGTAGTAACTTAGGACTTTTGCTTTTGTAACCGGGCCATTAGTGCCTTTTGTGATTATGGCCATTGGTGCCGGTATAATTTGATTTTTGTGTAAGTAGCCTGATTGGTCGGCCATACTTTAAATGCAATTTCTTTTTACTTTATAGTTTTTGCCATGTTTCTTAATGCCTAGTAATGTAAAAATAAGCCGACTTGTATGGTCAGCCGAGTAGGGTAAATTTCACATTGGTTGATAATCGATGGGTGGTTTGATTACACGAGAGTGTTCGGTTCAAGTGTGTTCAACCGAATTGTGGTCGATCTTGTAGTGGGTCGTGACGATACGCGGTTAGAGCGTGCGAGAGTGCTCAACTTAAACGTGCTCGGCTTAAACGTGTTAGGCCTAAGCGTGTTTGGCCTCAGGGCAGGTCACGATTTGATACACGGTGTGAGAGCCTACATGAGTGGTCGGCTTAAACGTGCTCGGCGCGAGCGTGTGAGGCCTCGGATTCGAGTCGTGATTTAATATTCGAGGCATGTACGATTACACGTGTTTGGTCTCGGAGTTGGATCATACGATCTGATGCGTATTTGATCTCGCGAAAGCGCTCGTCCTAGAAAAACCTGTCAGGATCGAGTACGCCTGTGTATAGTCGGCCGAGGGTTGCTCTGTGTCGGTACGTGGTGTAGTGTTCGACCTAGGTACGTCCTTAACCCAGCTAGGTACTCGGGAGGGAAACCTGTGGGGCGCGAATGCACTAGTTCGAATGGTCGGCCGAGGATTGCTCGGTGACGTCTTGTGTCGTAGTGCTCGGCCTAGGTACATCCTTAGCCGAGGAGGGTACTCGGGAGGGAAACCTGTGGGGCGCGAATGCACTAGTTCGAATGGTCGGCCGAGGATTGCTCGGCATCGGCGTGTGTGACTCGATTTGCATGAGCGCGACCTGAACATACGATAAAATAGCAAACAGTATGATGAAATTTGAAAATTTTATTAATGAAGTGTCTCGTTAAAAACCTTGCCGACCCAAAACCCTCCTTAGGAAAAAAAGAGTCGGTCAAGGAAAAGAATGGACTAATACATCAGCTGTAATACACTTTTAAATGTGAGGAGTTCCAAGTTCTCGGAATTGGCTCTCCTGATAGACTAATCAGAAAGGGGTCTCTTGTGTGGTCGACTGGGGCGTGCATCGGTAGGCCCAAAGTACCTCGGGCAACTGCTCGGCCCAAGCTCCTTTTGCTTCTCCTAGCCGCTTCTTCAACTCTGTCAGGATGACCTTGTTGGCAGATTCGGCTTGGCCGTTCGTTTGAGGGTGCTCGACCGATGTCACCTTGTGCTGTATTCCTAGGCCGGTTAGGAACTCGTTGAGTTTTCGGTCGGTGAATTAAAGGCCATTGTCGGTTACTAGGGTATGCGGGACTCCGAACCGGGTGATAATATTCCTCCAAAATAATTTTTGGACTTAGTGAGTCGAGATGCATGCCAAGGGCTCGGCTTCAATCCATTTAGTGAAAAGGTCCACGACGATGATGAGGAACTTGCATTGCCCCTTAGCAACCGGGAAAGGTCCAAGTATGTCGGCCCCCTATGTGGCGATGACCATGCAGGAGGAATACAATGTAGCTGGTCGGCCGGTTGGTGGATCAAGTTGTCGTGTTTCTAACATGGTTGACACTTCTTCACAAACGTTTCGCAATCGGTGTTCATGGTCGGCCAATAGTACCCGGCTCGTAGGAGTTTAGAGACGGTCGTTCTCGCTCCTGAGTGCGTTCCGCAAATACCCTCGTGAACTTCTCGTATCACGTAATCAACCTCGGTGGGATCTAGGCACTTGAGTAGTGGGGTGGAGAAGCCTCGCCTGTATAAAAGATCGGCGATGACGACATATCTGCTGGCCTGCATACGCAACCGTTTGGCCTCGGTTGGGTCGGCGGGAGCGATGCCATTGGTGATGAATGCCTTGATTTCGTCTCGCCAGTCGGACGGGTCGTTCTGGCCGGGGTGGTCGGTATCAACGCTTGCTACCACTTCCGCTTCGATGCTAGGGTGGTCGATTTCTTGCTGAATGATGGTTCTTAGCTGGCCTGGCTTCTTGGTCGCGGCCAACCTAGCCAACTAATCAGCTCGTGTATTGTCCTCGCGCGGGATGTGCTCATCATGTTTTGATAGGAATGGTAGTACTTCATCATGTTCTGATCTTTTACTTGGAAGCTACCGCTCACTTGCTCGGCCACAACTTTGGAATCGGTCCAGCATTTGATTCTTGAAGCACCCATGTCTTCGGCTAGTCTTAGTCCGGCCAATAGGGCTTCATACTCGGCTTGGTTATTCGAAGCCTTAAACCGAAAGCGGAGGGATTATTCTAAAACTATCCCTTTAGGTCCTTCGAGAATTACTCCTACTCCGCTTCCTCGGCAATTTGAGGAACCGTCCACGTGGAGGGTCCACCAATACTCTTCAAATTGGCCATGGGGATGGAGCTCATTCACGAAGTCGGCGAGGCATTGAGCTTTAATCGGTCCTCTCGGCTTGAAGGTGATGTCAAATTGCGAGAGCTCTACCGAACAGGTCATCATTCTTCCAGTGAGTTCATGCTTGCCCAAGACCTTTGAGATCGGGCAGTCGATGTGGACGATTACTCGGTGGCTCTGGAAATAATGTTGTAGGCGTCAGGAAGTGTGCACTAAACCAAGCGCCACCTTTTCTATCAACTGGTATCGGGTTTCGGAATCTTGCAGGAGTCGGCTGACGAAATATATGGGAGCTTGGGTGCCTTCTTTTTCTTGCACCAAAACCGAGCTGATCGCCTCCTCGGAAACAGCCAGATACACGAGTAGTGGGCTTAGAGGATCAGGTCTCGTGAGGATCGGCGGCGTCGCCAAGGTTGTTTTCAATGTTGCAAAGGCTTCTTCGCATGGCTCGTTCCACGAGAAGGTCGAAGCCTTGCGTAGAAGTTTCGTCATCGGGCTAATCTTGTCGGCCAAACGAGGGAGGAATTGGGACAAGGCGACCAATCTTCCTGACAGTCATTGCAGTTCCTTGAGGCAGCTCGGGCTTCGCATGTTTAACACGGCCTGGCACTTGTCTCGGTTTGCTTCTATCCCCCTTGCCGATAGCATAAACCCTAGAAACTTGCCTCCCTTGACCCCGAAGGTGCACTTCTCGGGGTTAAGCCTCATGTTGTGCTTGCGTAATTCAACGAAGATTTCGGCTAGGTCAGCTATGTGATCGGCCAGGGAATTGGACTTGACCACCATGTCGTCCACGTAAATCTCGATGTTTCGGCCGATTTGGTCTTGGAACACTTTGTCCATTAACCTCTGGTAGGTCGCCCTGGCGTTCTTTAGTCCGAATGGCATGACTTTGTAACAAAAGTTGGCGTTCTCGGTGATAAACGACGTCTTCTCTTCATCGGCCGGGTACATCTTTATATGGTTTTAGCCGGAATATGCATCGAGGAAGTTGAATACAGAGTGCTCGGATGCTCCATCGACGAGTCGGTCAATACAGGGGAGAGGATAGGCGTCTTTAGGGCAAGCTTTGTTGAGGTTAGTGTAGTCGGTGCACATCCTCCATTTCCCGTTCGCCTTTTTGACTAACACTACATTGGCCAGCCAGGTGGTGTAGGTGACCTCTCTTATAAATTTGGCTTGTAGTAATTTTTTCACCTCGGTATTTGCAACCTTCCTCTTCTCCTCACCCATTTTTCTTTTCTTTTGGGCGACTGGTCGGGCGTCTCGGCATACAGCGAGCCGATGGCAAAGGAATTGCGGATCTATTCCGGGCATGTCTGACGCCGTCCACGCAAATAGGTTTTTGTTGTCTCGGACTGCTCATTTCACCTGGCTCGAATTGGCTTCACTTAGTTGGGATCCCATATGCGTGACCTGTTCGGGTGCTCGGCCTGAAAAGGAATGAGGTCCTCAGCAGGCTCGATACGCTCTTCTTCGCCTAACTGAGGATCGAGGTCGATGCCATCGGTCCTCTCCTGTCTGACCACATTCACACCATTCGCTGTCGTCGAGGAGTTGGCAATAGGTCGTACCTTCAAGCTGGAGAGGTAACATTCTCTTGTTGTCTTCTGATCGGTGTGAATGGTTATCACCTGCCCGTCTTTCGACGGAAACTTCATGCATAGGTGGGGTGTCGAGACAATGGCACCTAATGCATTAATAGAAGGTCGGCCTAGCAGGATGTTGTACGACGTGTTCGCATGCACCACGATGTAACGAATCTTGATCTCTCGGGAAGATCTCTAGTCGAAGCCGAAACGGGTGTATAGATCAATGCACCCTCTCGTCATCACTCTTTCACCCGAGAATCCTACTAGTGGCTTGTGATACGGCTCTAGGCTCTCCTCCGGGATCCCTAGCTGTACAAAGGTGTTCCAATACAATATGTCGGCCGAGCTCCCCTGGTCAACTAAGGTTTTCTTCACGATGCAGTTATGCATTTCGACTGAAATCACCATGGGGTCGTCCTGAACGGGATCAACTCCCCGGAAGTCTCGGTCGGAAAAGGTTATCGGTGGCATCTTCGGTGTCTTCGACTGATTCACACTATTTACCGATCGTACTGCTCGGAGGTGTCTCTTCCGTGCAGAAGATGTGGAACCTCCCCCGGCGAAGCCTCCGGCTATTGTGTTTATTATCTTCCTCGGTCGGGCATTGTCTTCTCGGGAATGCCGCGAACGATCCTGCCTTTCGGTTGAACGGGATCGGCAGCGTGGGTCTCTCGGTTGATGGGCTTCGCGAGAGTGGTCTCTCCCCCTTGACTGATGGTCTTCGGGGGTGACAAAGCTCCTGAGGTGACCCTGCTTGATAAGGTCCTCGAGTTTGTCTTTAAGTGCAGAGCATTCTTCGGTCGAGTGTCCCCTGTTCCTATGGAATCGACACATCTTGGCTTTGTCGGCTCTAGGGGGAGTATTCGCCCTCTTCGGAATTGTGAGGATCTCCGAGGCGAGAGCTTGTTCCATTACCTTTGCCCTGCTAGCATTGAGAGGAGTGTATGCCGTGTAACGAGGGCCTCTCGGGGGACGAACATTGGAGGGCTCGACAATGTTCTTTTTCATAGGTTCTCGGCCGGTTTCTTTTCGAGTGTAACCCTCTTCGACCCTGACTTGATTTCTAGTCTCCGCCAGCTCTTCCATTTGCATATACTTTTCAGCTTAGCCTCGGAGATCATTCATATCAACGGGTGGCTTCTTGCACAAGCTATTCACGAATGGCCCCGGCCTGAGGGCAGTGCTCAGTCGGTCCAACGCTATGGCGGGGTTAAGATCGCCGATCTCCATGGCAATCTTGTTGAATCGGTCCATGAAGCTTCTCAAGTTTTCCTTCTTTTCTTGACGGACCCCCGCTAAGGCTAACGAGGTCGTCTTGTACGGCTTGCTCGTCGCGAATTGAAGAGTGAATTGAGATGACAACTTGTTGAACGAGTCGATGGAAGAGCTCGGCAATCTCGTGAACCAACTCAGGGCCCTTCTTTTCAGCGACGTGGGAAATATTCGGCACAAAGCCGAGTCGTCTTGAGTGGAGAGGGTCACCTGTGTCAGGAAGACGTTCAGGTGTTCATCGGGATCGGAAGATCCGTCATACTTCTCGATTGGAAGACTCTTCCAATGATCCAACAAGGTTGCTTCCATTATCCTTCGTGAGAAAGGATGTCTTAGGGAGTGAACGCTGGTATCGGCTTTGTTACCTATCAGCGAGGTAACTGGTGTTTGAGTCAGATGGTCAGTCGGGGCATGGTATGCCGACTCCTCTTGGAGAGTGGGAGTTGACGGCACGTAAGTTTGGTTCAGGCTCCGGAGCTCGGCGTTTTGCCGACGCAGCTCGGCCAGCTCTCGGGCATCGGCTTCTCTCTGTCTTCGGATGGCCGCCATTTCCTCGCGCAATACGCGCAAGTCATCTTGGAGGTCGGGCTGAGCTCGGTCAATATTCGGCTGGACCTCTTGTATCACGGGTTCCGGTTGTGTCTGAGGCATTCCGTACGGATAACGTTCTTGGTTGTTCATGGCGGGATTGTTTTCGGGGTTAGGGATCGGTTGGGTTGTTGTTGATTGTCCTTTGCGCGTTACTACCATGTCTCAGTCTCAGTTGTAGAGTTCTAAGGGGCTGAAAATGTCTCCTCGGCCCCACGGTGGGCGCCAAATGTTCCTGTGTTAGGATACATACTTCACTTATCCTTATTGTAGCGGGTCTGATCCTGGGTCTCGGTCTTCTCGTTCCTATCCGGGTAGTCCGATGTGAAGGGGGGTGTGCTTGCAAAGACACTCCAACGCTCAAGTAAGTGCTCGGCGTAATAAATGCGGTAGTTGAAAGTTAAATACATATCTCGTTGGGGTCTTATTTATAGTGGTTCTTATTGGACCGTGATTAAGGATTGGGCCCCGAGAAATTAGGGGATTAATCCGGTGTATTACGACGTAAATTAACCTTTCCGTAAGTATCCTGGCATAAATGCGGGGTTTGGCCGAGCACACCGACGCGCCGTGTTTAATTTGCGAGTGGTCGGTTGGCTCGGCTATTCGGTCTGATCTGTCACGCTTTCGGGTATTCGACCAAGTCAGTCATAGACTCGGGTATTCGGCCTGGTCGGCTACGATACGATATAATTATATTATACAGATAACTCCTTCATTGATCGTCCTCTTTTTAACAACTAAAAATATCATTCACTTTCTATGTTGGAAACTCTGGGTAAGAAAAAATAAACTATGACTTGCATTATTCGTTTCTTAAAAAACTAATAGATCTCGTTAAAGTTTATGATTGACTAATAAATAATATTGTGCAATATTATAGTCATGAAGGAGAAGGAGGTGAACTGTGGGCCTAAGCAATTCTGCTTTTTAAATTGTTTGAAAATGATGCACAGGTAAATTAGATTTTGTAAGGAACCACCGATCGACTAGCAACAAGGTAAATGGAAGGAGAGCATATGCTCTGAAGGAGAAATTAATGTTTATAAAAAAAATCAATTGAAAATATGGAATAAGGATCATTGTGTCAAAATCGATCAAAACATTTCACTACGGAAAAGAAAAAAATTTGGAGCAATTGGATATTCAACAAAAAGGACAACGATTTGGATGAGGATGAAGTCATGAGAAGGAAAAAATGTGATGAATATCACACTCTTTAATACTGATTGATAATGAGGAAAAAAGAAAAAAGAATCGAGGGAAATATGTGAGAAAGGAAAAGTAGAGAAGCTAATGAAAAATAAAATAGAAGTTAAATTTGTTTGGTAAGAGAGAATTATAAGAGAATTGAAAGGAAGATTAATTTTTGAATTGATTTAAATTAACTTAAATAAAAAGGTTAAAATGATATAAACTAATTTAAAAATAGGCTCCTTTATAACTTCTTTGCCGGTTAATATATATGCCCCTTTTTTGTGATTTGAATATTTAACTTCCATAATTGATGTATGTGCCATAATCATTTATGGAAACAATGACGTCACAAAGTCATTGAACGTGAAAATTTGGGTTCTTATGTATCTCGCACAATTGATTATGGTTGCCCGCAACACACATCACCAAGTTAAAAAACTCAAATTGTGGGCTAAAATATAAATGAAATTAACATTTTCATATTTCTCTTCCAATCTTCCTTATTCAGCAAGTACTAAAAATATTGTGAGATCCACTCATTTCTTATCATCTGTTATCTTTCAATCGGTTGTACCAAACACAAAAGGTCTACTATCCTTCACTCTCTTTCCTTTACTTCAGAATCATCCCTCCTCTTCCCCTTTCACACACAGTTTTGTTGTACTAAAAGGAATATAACACATTATCTTAATCACGCTCTTTATTATTGATTAAAAGTTATTAGAAATTACAAATTTTGGTGAGTTTCACTGATTATTTAATGAATTTTTTCTAATTTTCTAATGTTTAATAAATTTAAATTAGCCAATGCTAGAGTATGTGCTTGTTGATAGCAGTGCTCAATTAATAAACATTCAAGTGTGCAATGCAGCCTACTTAGGCAAAATTCAAGGTTTAGATGACTTAGAAAAGGGATTCAAATTCCAAGTTTTATCATGCTTGCATTGTGAATAGGAGAGGAAATCCTAAGCACCGCTTTTGTTGAGGTCCTAGTGGAAGGGGTACTAGAGCTAAAGAATATAGACTAACGGACATTTCCGATAACACTTTACAAGATTAAAATGGCATTGACCGATGTTAAGATGTACGAGGATCACGTATATTTCAAAACTAGCATGGGTGCCTCCTTAACTGAACAAGGGATTAAGGTGGCAACTTGGTGTCTCCTTAAAAGACAATGTCTTAATAGTATTAATTCCCACTCCTTAACCTTGGAATATTATCCAGTTAATCTGACTTTTATAATTTTCTTGGAAGAATTTCATGAAAACAAAAAGCAAGTAGTAAAAGGCTTTATAGTCTAAAAGACTAAAACTATAGGTGGCATAAAGTCTAAGATCTTAACGGTTAACATATATAGTGCGATATTTGGTTTAAAACTGGGATGCAATAGACTGATGTATTGGAAAATTTATTATATAGTACATGTCTAATAAGTGTCCATAGTTCCATGTTTTGGCCAAATTTATTCAATATTTAAGAAAAGAATTAATAATATTTAATTATAGAGAATAATTCCTAGGAATTATGTAGTAAGACAACTTAATAATTTCTCATCCTTTTATAGGTTTATGGCATTAGAGGTTTTACTTTTAATGTTCATCTTCTCACGTAAAGTAATGTCTCGGGTCAAAAATATGTAAACCCAATCTAAGGATCGTCATTTAATGATTGTTGAACATCCAAAAAAATTATTTGAGACAAAAAGAGAAAAATGTAAGTATGATAAATGATATGATTAATACAAACATGTCAGAGATAAATAAATAAATAAATAAATAAATATATATATATATATATATATATATATATAT